CCCAACTCTGGAGTGGATTTCCATGACAACATAAAAATAAGAGACACACATTTCCCAAATACCAACAAATTGCAACACAACTCGAATGGGATCGTGTGACTTGATTTGGCCACAGTAAATTGATGACATTATTTTCCTGAAACTGTTCCCAGCACTGAAACATTCAGCATTGTTGTGCTGGCAGACGTATGGACTGGCTTGCAGGAACAGACAATCTCTTGGACCTCATCCGTGTTTTATTGGACAGCAAGGATGTGCTAAAGGTGATGTCTCCCCATACAATTCCACTTCTGTCATAACGCTTATGGTGATGTCTCTACACATTGTCTTTCCACCGTGTTGTAGCAAAGATATTGCTACTCTGGAAGAGTAAACAGATGCTCTCTGGGACTGGACAGACTGAAGGAACTGAACTCCTTTATCCTTGAACCAAGAAGATTGCAGGAGGAACTGATACAAGTATTCAAAAATCATCTCAGGCACTGACAAAGTCACCCCAGGGACATCTTCAGAATGAAGAGAGAAATATGAATCAGAGGACACAAGTGGTAACTACAGTACATAAAAATGCCTTTAAAACCAGGAACAGGAGGTACTTCTTTATTCAGAGGGTTGCAGACATCTGGAACAAGCTACCCAATCATATAGTTGAATCACTACTCTGCCTCCTTTCAATTAAGGTCTGGATGAGATACTTGGCTCAATCAACCACTATAGGCTAGATTTGCCAAATCAACTTCTCTTATGTTCTTCCATTAGGTCTGTTTACAGCAAACTGTCATTCATCCATCACTCTCTCTTCTGCCAGATGTCATCTGGCCCACAAAAGATGGCGTCTCAATTTCCCAGCTGTCAGTCTTACCTCTGGACAGCTTCTGAGCGTGTGGATCATCTGTGTGATCTACAGCCATGCCTCAGATGTGCAGGTTACGTGTTGCCACTGCAGTCTGAAAACGGTTACGCAGATGAATCAGGCAGTTGTGACAGTCTTGGGCCAGCATGGTGACTCTCTGGGTTATAGCCGGGTTCCTCGTTCCTCTGGATGCATCGGCTGAATGTTGAATCAGAAAGTCTCATTTTCTGGGCAGTTTCTCTCACACTCTGCTTTCCATAACAGCAGCTTCATTAATCAGGTGGGGCGTGGCTGAATATTTCATGATTTTGTGTTCATTAAAATCATGCAGCTTTGTGAATGGCAATTTACACAAATTAGTCATTAACTTGTTTTGAAAATGTGAGTTAATCAGAATCCCATTACATTTCTAAGAAACACATGTCGGCAATTTTACCTAGCATTTTTATGAAATGACCAGACCTGAGCGAAGTATTTAGCTGTTTTAAAAAACAATACCACTCAAAGGATTAACAAACTTATCTGCTCACTATTTAAAAAGGTAAACGTCTATCTGTGCCCAATGAGATGGTGATGCAAAACCACATGCTGCAATTTCACTGTGGGACTGTTTATGTATGTGGGTGTCTGTGTGTTTACTGTAAATTGCTTGGGAAAGTTCTACTCTCGGTGCTGGATATGTACTTATCCTAAAAAGTGTGTGACCTTCCTGGAGTATTGATATCACTCCCCTCAGAGAACTCTGCAGATGGATTTTTCATTGCATTAATCCCCAGATCAGGTGGGTTTTGTCAAAGTGTTAAACTTTAATACTTTGGGTCATTTATCTTTACGGCAAACCCAGGGTCTGTCAGCGGCCAGACGAGCTATTTCCTCATTTTATTTTGAGCAATGGAGAACAAGAGAGGTAGAGGGCAACCACTGATCACAGCTTAATTAAATCCTGATGTTTTCAGAGCTAAGATATTCTGTGTCCCTGGCACTCAGATATTTAAAAAAAATACACATCTCTGGGGAGTTTTTATTCTGTCCTTTGTACATTTTTACTGCGACTTACATTTATTATCACTGACATTAAGGGACAAATTTGTAAAATTTGTCCAGATGACCAAGTGGTAGCCAAAAGAATTACAGTGATGTAATGCAGAAACTCTTATTCTGCCTGACCCATGTTGTGTGCTCAAGGGTGCAAAGAAAAGGAATTTATCTTCTTTACTGGAGATCTTACCACCGATTATGCTTCCAAAACCTTTTTTATAACTTTCAATCTTTGGTAGAAATCATTAAGCATTCATGCTAACTCTTAGCTATCTGGTACTGAACATTGCAAGTGGCTATTCACATAATTATATTTTTCTGTAAAAGCGAAAATAATTCAGCACTCCAAATGATGAAATTGCTATTTTCAGTGACCGCTCTCATATTGCTCCCATTAATATTAAACATTAAAATGCGTTAATACTCTTAGCAGTTACAGATAACAAAGATGCTGGCTGTTATTCTTTGTCTGTTTATAAAAACTCACAAACTCACACACTTAACAAAGGACAGATTTCACTGAAAGCCACTGTATACCATTAAATAATATTTCAATACCATATACATGAAAGTAAATGGTGGTTGATAAGCGATTGTATAATGTCTTAAATAAGGCTCTTAATAATCTTGTTATTGTGTAGTTAATATTTCTCTCAGATCAAAAGCAACACTTTGTTATTATAGGTTGCTTTTCTTAATGAATATCTTCATGCACCAGCTGACAGAATAAACTGAGTGGTGTAGTGAGTTTGCTTGTGCATGCGTTTTGTATCAAGTGTGTTTGTTTTTACTAATGCTAAAGTTATTAGCACATTAGTACTATTTCTTTGAAAAGCCTTATCCTTTACTGTATGTGATAGTTATTCAGGAAGTTTTCCAAAGATTAATAAAACAGTTTAAGATATATATGTATGTATGGAATATCCATCTGAAATAAAAGATCATTAATTACTTTAATTATTTAATATTATTGTTGTTGTTGTTGTTGTTGTTGTTGTTGTTGTTGTTGTTGTTGTTGTTGTTGTTGTTGTTGTTGTTGTTAGATTAGTTCTTTATAACAAGTCCAACCAGTTAACAAAATGTCATGTAGTCATAGAACTTTTTATATGAACAATGTCTTCAACAATCTATCTAAAGCTACATGCAGTAAATTAGGTTTCTTAAACAATCTGTGTCTTGGAAATGTTTTTGAATGACTTCACATCTATATATTTTATTACTAATAATACATCATAATAATTCTTTATTGCAGTTGGAAGTCTATCTAGAGTTCAATATCTTACTTTTACATGGTCATAATATGCAAACAGTACATCCTAAATTTAAATGATACTTTGTATGTATTTATGTTGCTTTTAATTGTCTAAACATTGGGATGCAAATGACTTAGTTTTTGTACAGTTTCATGTCTAAAATCTAAATCTTTTATTTCTCTTGAACCATCAGCACAGAAATGTCTGGCACATTGTGGTTGTTTCCTTTGATCAGCTGAAGATTTCTACTATACTTCTCAAAACGCAAAGATCCTTCTCTCAAAAAAACATTCACTGATTCACTTGTAGTGTTTTTGTCAAATGACAAGCGTCTTTCTTTATATAGTGATCAATTTATCATGTGTTAAAGTCAGAGAAGTATCGTCGATAAACTGCAATGTCTTCGTTTTTCTGCAGCATCTCTCTTTGTGTTGAATCCCCTCAATCCCCTTATCTTTCACCTCAAAGGACGCTGTACTGTTTTCCCGCTCCCTGATACTGCAGATCAATTCATTTATTTCAAAGACAAATGTCGGGAGATGTGTACCGAATTCACAGTGAACGTTTTGCTTCTTTTGCAGCAAGAATGAATTACTGGAGTTGAAATTACAAAGCTCTTTTATACATTCAATTTCTTCCACCCAAGCTTACGGAAATGTTTTTTTTTTTATTCTCTAATTAATTCTAATAATGATTTTGCCCTCAGATTTCTTGTACTCGTAATTCTGGCGCTATAATTAAAGTGTTGATGAAAGAGGTCTTTTACAGGACAAGAAGGGAAAAAGTAGAATAACCGAGAAACAGTTACTATTATTGTTTTTGTTGTTGTAGCATCGGTGGATATCGTCGATATTAAAGCCAAATATTACCTTGGAAACTTCTAAGATAAAAAGAGTAGTTTAACAGTTTAACTAGGTAATAGGAAAGATATAGCTTGTAAAATATGTGGTAGTGTTAAAGATAAAACACAAAGGCAGAAAAATATCGAGAAAGAAAATTGTGCTAGCCTCATTCTCTTAGATGTAGATTTCTCGATCTTGTGAACTGAGAACATTTTTAACTATTGGAACAAAATTTGATCTTCAGCAATGATTCGTGCACCGGTTCACAGAATAAACTACGAGGCGCTATAAAATGGTGCTTTCAATAAGGCAAAATTCTTTCCAATCTATTGGGTTTAATTTATCGTTTCTGAACTTTTAGGGATAGAAATAATTCAATTTATTGACGCGCTCTGTTATTACTGACTCCTACAATAAAATACTTACCGGATAACAACTTGCAAAAGTTTATTTACGATTTTCAGCACAAGGGCTGTACAGCCACGAAGGGAGAAATTCCTGAACGCTATCACGTTCCAGTAGATTTAAATGTGTGTCTTGAGAATTGAACATGGGCTGCTATGAAATTCTACCGCATAACCTGTTTCTCACTCCAGCTCAGGTGAAGGAGCACTTATGATTGTGTCACATTCATCACTACCGAATATTTGTGAATTCAGAAATGAGCTCTCAAGAGGAACTTGGATGGAAAATGTTTGGAAGCCCAGTTAGCCCCTTGTTCTCCAGTCGTATTTGTCCGCTGTCAAACGTGCTGACTCTGCTGGGCTAAGACAGAGTGAATGAAGCCTAGCCTGTAGCCTGTTCTGGGAAGATTTTTAAGAAGCTTAGCGAAAATACCGTGACCGTCAGTGAAAGTAACAAAAATGACAGTGACTAAAGCAATAATTACAACAATAATACGAATGATTGATGTAGTTATTATTGTCATCAGCAGCAGTATTTGTTAAGTGTTTCAGACTGTAATGCTTTCTGCTTAAGCGTGCAAACTGAGGTTTTTTTTCTTTTTGTCCACAGAAAACCCGATATTCAGAGAAAATTGTTTTCAACACCTTTCAACGTTCAACGTTCAAGAGGACACAGATCTCGAGATCTTCATTCTTTCTCCATTGCCAGTAATAATTATTGCGGAAGACGTCTGTTTTTAACCCCACATTAAGAAAACTTCATATTTCTGGATAACTAGGAAAAATAAACGACTGCCTGGTTTTGATGATTTAACTAGTACAAATTAAATAACTGCTGTAAACAGTTCCAAATGATCACGTTTGCTTCCGAAACGAAAACTAATATAAAAGAGAATAACTGGGTTAACTGGAAAAAAAAATAACCACAAGGCCTATTTTATAGATTCGGTAATGAATTCTAACATAAATCGAAACATATATAAATATATTTAGGAAAAGCCACAGAATCTATGCACATAATTAAATATTATAGACCCTGGAAATACGATACATTTCAAGCATGGTATGTTAAATAGCAGCAATAAATAAATAAACACTAGGTGCGAAATTTTACGCGAATTTTCAATGTGTAAAAACTCTCTTTTCCATCTCAAATTCGAACTCTTGCGCTGCTTTGACTGAAGAGCATATTTCAAATGAAACTGTCAGCTCATAATCTAGCACATTTTAAGAGGAATGCTGATAAGCAGTTAACGGATCACGAATATGTGCACGTCAGTCGTGTAAGCTGTATTGTCGTTTTGTTGCTATTATAATCGGTAATTAATTTTCAATAGTGGCTGTAAAAGCGCTTCTCTCTGTCGGCTGTAACCTGCATTTTGGTCATGCTGTTCCACCAAATATACAATTATATGTACCTGAATGTTTCAGAAAGTGATATTTTCGCAATTGGAGTTCCGACACGGTAAGGTTTTATTTTGATTTCGTCAGCAAATTAGCCCGTGCTCACTTTTTAAGTACATGCTGTTAATAATTGAATATGTATTTCGCTCCTGATATGTTTGTTTACTTACACCTCGTAATTACCTTTAATTACCCCCACTCAGTTTCTCTTTCCAAACATCCTAATCCCTCTGTGTGTGATCTTAAATGGACCCCCGAGGGGTATTAGGCCTGAGTGCCACGGCTCTCCGGGGATTAGAAGTCCCTCAACCCGCTGGAGAAAATGAGCTCGGCGGAGGTGAGAAAGTCAAGGAGCCGTTTGGCCTTGTTAGGAGCACGGGGTGACCTGCTGAGAATCCAAACATTTGTCATGTAGTGCTGGAAATGAAACAACAGGTACTAAACACCGCGGAACACGACACTGCCAAATGTAATATGGACTGTAGCAGAGTGCAAAGTCTGCATTCAGATGCCTGCTGCTGCTGGAGAAGATGTTGCGACAGATGGTCAACACAGCCTGATCTGACCGAATTTCCGTTAAGATTAAATAGTTAAAAGAGTGGCCGTTCTGCCAGCATGTAACCATAACGTATTAGTAAAGCTGGTAAACAGAGAAAATTGAATCTAATATTAACCTTAACAAGGTACGTTCATTCTACCTAAACGCATATTTAACGTTTGACAAAATGTAAGGTCGGGGATACAAGAATAATAAATACTATAAACCAGTGTGTATTCATTTAAGAGATCGACGACTGAAGCATGTACTCTGATATATAACGTTAACACTTGTTGCCGCCCCCCAGGTACTGTGTAGTATGGCAGCGAACCCGGAGTATTTACTAAATAGATCAGGAAGGTGAGAGAAGTGTTGGTCCACCAGATCCGAGGTTTTTCCCAGTTCCGTTTTATAGGCTGCAAACACATAAAGACGGGAGTTTAGCAAATGGCCAGGTACACAGACACACGGAAACACATATATAAATCATCCGATTTCAAGATTTTATTTTCCTGAGTCGTCCAGCTGCAGGTTTCTTCTTCTATTTATGAACGACTTGCGTATTTCAGAAATCGTTGGAGGTACATTAGAGGTACAATTTGTCTCACTGCAACAGACATTTTAAACATTTTCGTCTTAAAATATGTTCACTTTTCTCACAAAGAAACAATTGTACAAAAATGCTAATCAAAATAAAAAGTAATTTTTAAAAACTACATTGAGTTCAACTATCGTGAAGGGATCCAGTCTTTCCAGCTGAATATCTTTTTTTTCAGTGACCAAAGATCATGTAAATCGTGACTAATTTAACCAGTAATTGATCAGAACAACTGAGTACTTAGAATGACCCAGAGGATCCTCTGTGTAATGGTTGTTATACATTTCATCTTTTAAAGACACATTAAGAAGAAATTGTCTTTATTGTGATAACACAATAGTTTATTTTTGAAATTTCTTCATTGTAAATCATCTTGTACATAAATCACATAATTTGCAAATATTCAATTCTGTCCCTACCATTTTTTTTCGGTCAGTCCTAAAGATTCATATCTTGGTTTACCAACATAAATACAATGACATGAAAAAAGTACTAATGCTTAACTAATGGTGTACACTCAATCAGCCCTTCAGAGAATGGTTGACCTGCACTGCTTAGTATAGCATGCTTCTAAGTTGTATGTAAAAATGTAAAACTGTAAAACTAAATACTGATGGCCAGGGAGACTGATCATCCACTGATATTCTCTCTGTGGGGTTCCTTATTGGAATCCACCTCTCAGGTTTTTTTACAATAAAAATCCATTGCAAATTACATTAGCCTGCACAATAAAAGGAAAACATCTAAATATATTAACCTTTTAGCCAGACTATTCAGAGCAAGCTTCAGTTGATATGTCCTATGTTTGCTTAATGTCCAAACTAATGAGTATAAAATGCACCAATGAACTAATACAATAAAAATTCATGCTGTTGGCTTGCATCCATAAATCTCTCACCAAATACCTTAATTCAATGTTTTCAAAGTCTAAAATGTCTATACAATATACATTATTTACATAGCCTGTTTCTGCTGTTGATTGCATTCACATGATGTCAACCTAGGACGTATTTGCTAAGGGTGTGTGTGATGGGTTGTAGAGCACAGTGGCACAGTCTTTGTTATTTAAAATCTGAATAAATTTGATAATCAGTTGATTATCTATACAGTAAACCTGAAATGAGAAACAAATGTCCTTCTAGCATAGCTACGGACAAGCTTAAATAATGAATGAAAAGATGTTTTCCTGATACCAAATTGTCACACGGTGATCTGAATTTTGTCTATGTGAAGCACCCTGTATGGGCATATTTAGTTTAAATCAAATTCCGTTTATTCGTTTTGAATTAGCCAAAAAAACACTTTAAAAAATATGCAAATGAAAAGCAGCACTTCCAATGATATAATGTTTCTTTATTTCCCATTGAGAGCCAGAACTATAGAGGGACAATTAAAGGTAATTCCACGCCGAAAAGCAAAAGAAACAACATTTTGGCTGTCGAGCCTTCTTCAGGTGTGGGGAAAGAGAGGAAGGATAACAAGGGGTGTGTTCGCACCTCTCCCTCAGATCTCTGTTTGCCTGGCCTCTCTTTCCCACCTCCTCTGTGCCCTTTCTCTGCCTGTTGCAGACATTGCACACTGAGGCAGCTGTCCACTAGAACTTCAACTAATTGACATGTGTTAAACTTGACCCTTGATGTTAAATAACAGATCTTTATTAAGTGGATCATATTAGCATGAGGGACCCCAACTAGCTCTGCTGGTAGAGCATGAGCCTCATAATCTCAGGATAGTGGGTTCGTGTCCCACGTCGGGCACCAGGGCCTCCATGTTGGAAGGTATAACAGCCAAATATCCATATCAGTGTGCATTATGGGCACTGCACCCATGACGGAGTGCTGTTGGGTCACATACCAGAGGATCACACCTTTATGTTGCAAGATATGTCGCTCAGAGCTTTTCAGCAATAATGTAGGCTAAAAATAAAATCAGCCATGTGTTTAGTTCCATACGCAGAGATGTTTCATGCAGTGTGAGCCTTAATATTTTAGAAAAATAACAATTACCTTGACAAATAATGACTATGAAATACAGTGAGGAATGCAGTCCTCGTATCATCACTCGTAGTCCATGAAGAAATACACAACTTCAGTTTCTATCTGCTGCTGAACGTGTTCAATTGCTGAAGCTGTAAAAATTCGATTCCTGCTAAGGATCATGGCAACACAGAGCCTGTGCAAAACAGCGTAGGGTACAAGACCAGACTACACGCTGGATGAAATTACAGGACATACACCCCACGCCTCTCAGGTACTGGGACCATTTAGAGACACCAGTTAACCAAGCCAGTATGTCGTTCCAGGGTAGAAGGAAACTAAAACAGCCAGAAAACCCAAGAGAAAACAGGGGGAAGATGCAAGCTCCACCCCATTTTGGATTTGAACCCAGGCCGCAAGAGGTGGGAAATAGTGGGTCTAAACACCAACCACCATGCCACAGCAACAGGTCTATTTACAGTATGGAACGGAACATGATGAGAGAAAATGTGAACTGATGATTGACTCGTGGATTTTTCACAGGGCACCCATGTGCTCAATTTAGAGATACCCATTAACACAGCATGTCTACAGGAAGTGGGAAGAAATCCACAGTGACCTGGAGAGAGCATGCAGACTCCACACAGAAGGGTGCCCCAGGATCCAAGGACTGTGAAGCTGGGAAGGTGCAGGGAAGGAGAAAATGAAATCTAAAGGGAAGTAAGACCTTTCACAGAGAAGCCTTCAATCATTGTAGGAAATCATTATATCTTTTCCGTTTTATTTTACTTTGTACATCCTCACTTAGGAACTTGAACTGTAAAATGTTCTCATAGCCTGTGAAGCAAATATTTTTCTGTTGGTGTGAACTGCTCCCCGTTACAAGGGGCCAAGGTCAGTGTTTCAACAAACAAATAACCTCCTCTTTCCAAAGCTGTTCCAACTATCGTATGCCATCTTGAAAAATAAAATATTTACCTGCACAGGAAGCCATAAAATGTGTGAGCTTGCTTCAGTGTAGCTGGGTCCTGAACAAGACCCACTCTGAAGAATAACACTCTCAAAAAGCAGCATTTTTAAAATATCAATTAATGCTTCGGATTTCATTACAATATTTGCTGAAACATATGATCTGGGTCACATTTATTTGAGCAAGCAATCAATGGATTTGTCAAAGGATTGTAATTTCTGATTTGTAGGTACTGGCTCTGTTTTTTAGCAGCTGATCAAAATTGAAAGCAACTTGATTGATTATCCTCAAACATGTAGGAGTTTACATGTCTGATATTTAAT